GGTCCTCGAGGGTTGCCATCATCTGATGGCCCCGTTGCAGCAGTCGATTTTTTCTTTTTCTTGGACTTGTTCAGGTGGTCGATCTCGGTACGTGCTGCACGCATATGCTTGTATACAATAGCTTGTGCTGGATCAGAACCACTCGCAAACTTTGCTAGTTTCCGAAAATCGTATATCATGTTCCTCTCCCTTACCTGCTTCTTTGATTGAGGAGGCATTTCATCCGGTTGCTCATAAGCAGTCCCTGGCGCACTAGGTACAGCAGTAGGTGTCCACCGTCTTAGCAGGTACCTTTCCGGTATGACATCAACTCCAATATGGCTGAACACCTTGAGGATGTGGCAACAGAGGATGCCGTCCTTGTCCATTTTACAGCACTCACACAAATAGGAACCCTCCTCCACCCTTGCCTGCACCAAGTAGTTTCGAGAACCATATTTGGCAACAAATTCCTGGTTCGGTCTGAGCTCAAATACATCAGCACCAACTTGGAATGCATTATGACATCCAATCAGCTCAAACTCTTCTCTGAACTTGCGGTAAAGGTCCCTAGTATAGGTTTTGTAAGATTTCTTCTCTATTGGGAAGTTGGACGACAACTCAATCTCAAGGTGTTCTGTCCTGTAATCATTGCAGCCTTCCTTGGCAAGGATGTGGTTCTGGATTTTTTCATATTGCTTGACGAAGTTCAGCATTGAGTTGTGTGGGTTCACATATCTTTTCAGGCCGGCGTTGAACCCCTCACTACGCTGTGTAGACTGGAGGAAGGGGAAGAACCTGTGTTTGAAGTAGCACGGCACCCAAGTTGACCTGTATTCGTATAACTTCTCAAAGTGTGTGTGTGTCATAGCCTCATACTTCATCATTAACTCAGCCCAATTCTGCTCAAACTCGTCTATAGTGAAGCTGAAGTCAACACACTTGTTGAAATCATCAGAGAGTCCTGGATTCCGGCACAGCATCCAACCAACTTTTTCCTGAGCCTTTTTCATGATGTGCCATCGACAACAGCGGTGCATGGTGGTTGGAAAGATGCTCTGTATTGACTGCCTCATCGCATCATCCTGATCGGTGATGAAGTTGTCAGGAGGTTTGCCATCCATAGCCTCTAGGAATGCTCCAAAGACCCAATCAAAGCTCGATGCCAACTCCTGCCTCACAAACGCGCAACCCAACATGAAAGATTGGCCATGTCAATTTATTCCTATGAAGGGCGCGAACGGCATATTGTACATGTTGGTCATGTAGGTGGTGTCAAACGATATGCAATCGTGGTACGCCTCCGCATAAGCTTTTCGAGCTAAGCCATCCACCCAAAATATGTTCACAGCTCTGTCCTCTTCATCATATTTCACCTTATAGAAGAAGTCTGGATCGGTTTGTTGTATATCCTTGAAGTGCGCAATTGTCTCAATCAGATCACCCTCCTTTGTGTCATCTCTAGGGAAACTTGTACAAAGATTTGTTATTGCCTTTGGTCCGAACGGCACCATCATCTCAGATCCATAGAACTCTGCCATTACATGCATCATTCGTCCTGCATAATACAAAAACAAACAGTATATCCTTTTTTTAGTTGCACAAATACGCACATCCAGCTGCACAGTAATAGGATACGTGTTGGCACAGAAGATAATCACAGGAAATGGACACCTAGTTGCACCTTTTTAAAAACACTTTGCAGTTTTTGCATACAGGACATTGTGTAATTGCATAGTAAAGACAATCTAGTTGCACAAGAAGCACCAAAAGTGATATACAAAAAGCATGGGAAGTTGGACACCAGTTGCACAATTAAGCCATTTCAGTTGCACAGTAGTACCATAACAGTTGCACACTGGACTGCCTAGAGGGAAACTTAATTCTTTAAGGGATATAGAAAAAACACCACACCTGTAGTCAAGTTGCAGTTATACAAGATGTGTAGAAACTCCTTTTCATCAGGTGAGATGCCTTGGTGGGATCTCAAGTATTTGGACAATGAAGGTTTGTTCACGAGCAGATGATTGTGGTCACGAACAAAGTGCGTCACCTCCCATCGCCCATCTATCAGCTTCACCAACATTTTCGCCTTGCATTCAGTCTGCTTTATTGTCTCGCGTTTTTGCTTCTTCTTCTTCTTACTAGTACCAGCCTCCTCTTCAGCGAATATTGGAGGTTCTTCTTCCATCTCCTCGTCACTGTTAACAGATTTTGGATCTGGAATAGGGTCCAGGACAGGAGGAGCTTCAGCTCCTCCATCATCAGCTTTGGGCTTCTTGAACTTGTTGCAGCAAAACTGTTGTTTTATCAATTCATTGGTGCGGGGTCTCCGTCTAGAGGTGTTCATCTTGATAGAGAAACCCATCCGTAGTGCATAGCTGTTGTAGTGATCCTTAGCAATTTGAAGGTTGTCAAACCTCATGCCAACATAGGGTTCCATAGGTTGAGAACCAGCCTCATCCTCTCCTTCTACTTGCACAGCTTCGTCAACAGCCCCAGCTCCTAGCTCAGTCCTGGTTGGACCAGGAACATTTGCCTCGGTTCCCGTGTCATCAAGAGTATGGCTCTCTGACTGCAAAGACACCACTACAGGGGCACCACGGGCTGATGACTAGCCTGCCACATTGTCATGGCCCATAGGGCTACCATCACGACTTGCCTGCATGTAGTAAACAGATCGACCATTTTCTGTCCAATTTCCTTGTTGTATGCTGGGTTGCTGCTGATCCATATCATGAGGAAGCTCATTGAGATCTGGAGGCAACTCATTGAGATCAAGCATTTTTTCCTTGTTTTTGGATGCTGCCACACACTCCCTGCACATATAAAAAAGAAGAAATTGATGTCATCAGTTGGTAACCACAGAAAAAAAGTGTTTCAAACAACCTAAAAACTTAGTAAATAGGCAGTTGCACACCATTTTGTGACAATATTAGTTCCAAAAGCAACATGACTGTAGCATAATCTTTATTATAGCAGTTATGAAATTTTTTGTTTGCACAGATTTGTTATGTTAGTTGCACAGTTTGTAGTAAATAACTGGCAAGAGCATGACTTCTTTTTGCTACAGAGTTTTTCAGACTTTTTCCCTTTGTTTTGTTGTAATGATCTGTAGGTTTCCGTCTCGCAAGGAGCTCTTTTCAGATTTTTGTGCACATAATTGGATGCTACATTTGAGAAGGAAAATCCAGGTGAAAGAAGAAAGAAGAATTGGAGGACAGATTATAGTTATATGTTTTTCCTCGCCGTTTATGTTTCTAGTTCTGGTATATTTGAACAAATTAATATGGTTTGCAATAGGTGTGGGACCAGAATATATGTGTGGGACAAGATTACATGTGTGAATATGTTAATATGGTTTGTGGCTTCATTAGCCATGAACAAAAGTTCTTGTGTTTTTCCCGTTGCACTACAGATTTCTGGTTTTCGCTAGAATAGACGTCTCAATTGCCAGGATGCATTTTTTCACTTGCCCAGCATACATATTCAGTTGGACATTCAATGTTTTTAGTTGGCTAGAATAGATGTCTCAGCTGACCAGGTTGCATTTATTTCAGTTTTTGGCCAACATGCATGTTTAGTTGGACAGTTAATGCATTCAGTTGGCTAGAATAGATGTCCCGGTTGGCTAGGATACATTTTCTCAGTTTTTGGCCAACATGCATGTTTAGTTGGCCAGAAAACATGTTTTTTATTTGCACATATACTACAGTTTTTCTAAAGAGTTCACTCACAAACATGTATTGCCAAATATACATGTTTACTTGGCCAGGATACATGTTTAGTTGGCCAGGATACATGTTTTTTAGTTGGCCAGAAAACACGTGGGGTACAATGCATGTTTGTGATTTGGCTAGCATGCATGCCGAGTTGCCAGAATATAGGTTCAGTTGGCTGGGATGCATGTTCAGTTGCACATTTATGAATTTTTCGTTGCACATATCTATTGGGCAGTCAATTTTTTGTTCATTTTGCAAACAATAACTACAAGTTGGTAGAATGCATGTTTAGTTTTTGGCTACGATGCTTTGTTGAGTTGGCTTTAATCATGTTTTAATTGGTCAGAGAACTTGTTTTTAGTTGGCCTGTTTAACACATCCAGGTGGTAGAAACTTGTTTGGCATGCATCAAGTAGTTTTTGGCATGTTTAACACATCCAGCAGTAACAATAAGTAGGCTGGTGTGATGTGGCAGATTCACCTCTTTTTTGAAGCAGCTTCTTCATGGATTTGTTCTAGATCCATGAAGAAGGGGGTTTACATATGCCTATGCAGTAGAAGAAAGGGGGGAAGTGAAGAGGGGCAGAGGGGGCTTACCTACTTGATCTTACTGCCTGGTATGGCTCTGTCCACCCTGTCCTTTAGATCTTCTTTTTTGAAGCAACTCCTTCTACTTTGGGGCTCCCATGGCGGCTGTGTAGGAGGAGGAAGAAGGGCTGGGGGAGATTCTGTTGGATTTGCTTCTGGCGTGGAGAAGAAGAAGAAGGCAGCGTGGGAGGGGCTGAGGCGTGGGGGCGAGCGGGGGCGTGGGTGCGAGCTGGGGACAGCTGGCCACGTGGGGCGTTTTCTGTTTGGTGGCCGCTCGATCGGTTTGTTTGGTGGCCGGTCGATCGGTCGGTTTGATGGGTCCTTCCTTTTCTGTTTCATGAGGGACAGGGGTTTTCCTTTTTAGCCGGCCGCTTGGTTGCACTAGTGGGCAGCCGGCCGCCCACTAGACACGTCCTTTATTATTACAGGGGAATTTATCCTGCTGCTTTGATCAACATATCTGAGTCCTTTTCAAGGGAAAAGTTATGTAGAAAATGGATCGAAAAGTAACACAAACGCTGACCAACTTAGTCGGCCGGGTGGCCTCTTGATCCCGTGACAAGCACGTGACCCATATGGCTCTATAAAACGACCGTCCAAGCTTCCCCGTCAATCGCGCAATCGCAGTTAGTAGCGAGAGACATCGATCGATAGCCACGCTTAGCTCCTTCATCTACTCCATACAGCTAACTCCGAGCCTTCACTTCGACCATGGCCTCGTCCTCCGCGCTGATCGCGCTCCTTGTTGTCCTTGGCTGCGCTGCGGCGGCCTCCGCGGCCACGTTCACCGTCGGAGATGGGCAAGGGTGGACGACCGGCGCCAACTACGCCACCTGGGCCAGCGGCAAGACCTTCGCGGTTGGAGACAAGCTCGGTGAGTCGTCAGCACTCCTATTTCTACACAATGATTTTAGATGATAGAGCAGCTAGCTGATGATGGCTAGGTGGTTGACTCTCAGTTTGTTCACGGATCGTGGCCTAATATTTTCTGCTCTCTGTTTTCTCAGTGTTCAACTACGCGAGCCAGGCCCACACAGTGACCGAAGTCACCAAGAGCGAGTACGACGCCTGCTCCAGCAACGCCAACGGTGACAACAGCGGCGCCACCACCATGACCCTCAAAGCCGGCGCGAACTACTACATCTGCACCATCGGCACCCACTGCGCCGCCGGCATGAAGCTAGCCGTCACCGCCGGCGACTCCAGCCCCGGTACCCCCGCGGCGGGGACGCCGCCCACCACCCCGTCCGGGTCCGGCGGCTCCCGCGTGCGCATGGAGGCCGGCCCCGTCCTCGCGGCCACCGCCGGCGTCCTCCTCAAGCTCGCCCTCTTCTGATCCTCCGATGATTCGATGTTGGAAAGTTTCGTCGATCGTTCTACGTTTTCTTCTGACGGCCACGCACACGCTAGTTTGGAACGAGAGTGGTTGCCTGTGCTTCCTGATGTGATATGATTGGTTGGTTTCGTAGTAGTTGGCGTGAGTGACTTGTATGGATCATTATCTCGATGTTTCTATCTAGTAGTAATAGGACTCCTCCATACGAGGGTGATCAAATAAGTTTGGATTCTGTCAATGCTGAGGTTTAATTGTTCTTACTTTCGAGAAAAATGCAGATTTTTCTTCTTCATAAAGGTGGATAACCCCGGGCTTTGCATCGAATAGAATGATGCATACAACCATGTATTATTAAAAAAATCCAGCAACCAAACAATCACGACAGTAGCTCCACAAATTAACCACTGACTCTGATAAAAAACAGAAGCAAACAAAAATACACAGCTACTCCCTCTGTAAACTAATATAAGAGCGTTCAGATCACTAAAATAGTAATCTAAACGCTTTTATATTACTTTACGGAGGGAGTACTAGGCTAAGCCTTCAATAAGAAAATGTTGCGTCGATGGTGACAAGTGCAACATAGGTCGGTCTTGTGATTTCTATCCTCAAAGTGGAGCTTCGATCCACCACCTTCAGTAAGGACACAACATATGCATGCGTCGACATAGTCTGATCAAAGATATTGTGTCTTCATCACATTGTGCAAACTCATCGTTGAAGCTGTCTCTACTTTCATCCCTTGATCGGCTACCGACGCCTCATCTATACGCACGCACGCTTATTTCTATGAGCACCTTCAAAAGACCGAGCCGATTAATTTTAAAAAGAACACTCATGGCAAGTATATGACTTAAACCCATTGAGTTGATTCTACCGCAAGAAACCTAATCGTCTGAGCAACGCTCAATGTGCAATTGTTCTTGCATTTCCTTCTTATACCTAGTTTTGGTCATGGGAGAGAGTGATGCATGTGGGCGGTTAGGCAGGCTATGGACTATGGTAGTAAGACTGTGAGTAGACTGGAGGAACTAAAGAATGGAATTATGAGAAGACAACAAGATCGGACGGAATCGGTTTGGTTAGGATGGCTACGTGTCATCACAAGTTCCAACGTGTGGACATATTTTGCAACATCTTCAGAGAAAGTAAGGCCGAAAAGGAGAGATGGACGATAGTTTGGAGTGCACAAATTGTTGACGAGTTACTTTTGCGATAGGAGTGGAGTGGTTGGCACTAACTATATACGATCGTTAGAGATTCAACGGCGAGAGTAGCAAGTCCTTTTCGGTGTTTCGGTTCAGAATTCTGCAGGACAAAAGTTTCCAGAGTCAACACCTGCTCCGGCCGGCCGTGCGAATCCTGCGGTTAGTTAAGTTCTTTTCCGTAGCTAGGTTGTGCCAACTTCTAACTGATGAGGTCATTCTTTTTTCTTGAGAGAAGAACTGATGAGGTGAACTCTCTTGAAAAAAGAGGCAAGTAGTTTTTGTCAAAGAGCAATTGTTTTTTTAAGAACTGTTGAAGGATGCTGCTACACGGCAGTCGACCGATACTAGCCCAGGATCAGCTCCCACCTGAGCCGTTCGATCATCAAACGGTAGACTTACTATCGTTCCTCTCCACAGACGTCACACACACACACACACACGCAACCGCCTCCTTCCAACCTCATCTTCCGCAATGCTTGCTCTGCCCTCCCTGAATCGCCCTCGCCGATCACTTCCCTGGGGCGCTGCTCTCGCTCGACTCACACCTCTCAGCACTCGGCACCGACTTCGCCCACGGGCACTATCATTCATAGCAGAGTGAATTACAAAAAAACCACCACATTTCAAGTTCACATCCGAATTTGCCACCATATTCCTTGGGCGCCCCAAAAATCAACCAGTTCCCTTGCTAATATTCTCAATAAACACTAATGATCGATTTGGGGTGATTTAATCCTATTTCTGACATAAAGGGCCCGCCTATAAGCAGTGACATGGCATAAAATAGTCAACACCCTAGAAAGGGTCCACGAGTCATCAGCTGAACTAACAAAAGGGTCCCTGAAAAATTGCAAAAATCACCCTAGAAACAAAATTAGATTACAATGGAGCCCTTGCAGGGAGGTTGTTGTGCCTGTGAGCACAATCACCGTCGGAGGGAAGATAGGAGTCGATAGAGGGGCTCGAAAAGCAACTCCGACAGCCACGCCGGTGGCCTCGGGGGAGAAGGGCAGCCACAGGAGGGCTTCCCTGGTCACGGCGCCCCGGCCCAAGAGCTCGGCGGCCGCAGCACGCAAGGTTGCTCCTCGGCGGGCACCCAAGCCTCGATCAGGAACCGCAACGCCACCGCACGCGAAGAGATCGGAGCTGGGGACAGGCTCGTCGCACGCCGGAGAGGAGGAGACATATCGTCGGGGCAGGGGAGGGGTTGCATCACGGGATCCGGTATGTGGTTGTGCGTGATGGGACGTGGGGCGGTGGATCTCGCCGACGCCAGGAGGGAGAAGATGTGAGGGGCGGAGCACATGAGGAGAGGTCGCTGGGCGGCGCCGGCCATCTGGTCGAGGACACACGGGCGGCTCCAGATGTAGAGCTCGTGGGATCGTGGGGGAGGGGTTCCTGACCAGTGGGCCCTCTGTCTAATTTAACAGTCAACATGTTTTATTTGACTTTTGGTGCCATGTCAGCGCTTACAGGCGGGTCCTTTCTGTCAGAGATTGGATTAAATCATCCAAATCGTTATTAGTGTTTATTAAAAAAATTAGCAAAGAAACTGGTAGATTTTTGGGGCGCCTAAGGAATGTGGTGGCAAATTCGGATGTGAACTTAAAATATGGTTGTTTTTTGTAATTTACTCATTCATAGCACCAGCCACAGACTCACATGATTAGTAATCACACCAAAATCTCTCAAAGTCTGCCTTATCCATAAAAACTGAGTGCAACAACTACTGCAGCAATATACCAGACTTCGACGGCGGAGGTTGATACGAAGTTTTGTAGGTGGACTTCCTATCTATGATCTAAATCCAAATATCCAACGAAATCAAAGGATGCATCCTTAGGGTACCAAAGCCCAAAGTTTGAGGTATGAAATGAAAGCCGGGAAGTCCAAAATCATACCAAGAATGCCTCCTTATGAAATCAAAGGAGGCATCCCGAATATCCAACAATCACACCAAAATATTTTGATTTAGTGCAAGACAAGAAATGAACTAAGGCAATCAGACCAAGCTCTCTAGGGGCTTGATTTAGACTATATAGTGCCTTATGAAGTTTATAGACATGTTTAGCGTGATTGGGATCCTCAAAAACCGGTGGTTGTGCTACATATACCTCCTCATTAACTGGTGATCTAGCTTCATCTTTCATATGGGAATGGCGCCGGTTCACTTCTTAGCTCTTCGGTGAGTGTCTCCATCTTTCGATGGATCAACACCCTTCGTGCCAGGGTGAGGGGGCATGGAGCCCCCTTCAAAGATGGAGGAGGGTGTCACTGTGTCAGATAGAGCCATGAAGATGACGAGAGTTGTAATCTTCTTCTGGCAGATTTTTGGCTTTGCTTATTCAAAGTAGGGCTCGTTTCGAGCCTTCACTCTAGAAAAGGGCTGCACTTACAGAAAACGATTAAATATATGATTGAGTTTATTTAGTTTGTTGCCTAAATAGCTCCATTTGCATCCGCACACACATTGTGGACTCAAGAGATTAATACCGATGGAGAAGAACGCAACTGGCGTGGAGAAGCATCTTCCTGCCATGGTCCGAGTGAGGAGATTATGGATTTCTGGTCTATTGCCTAGTGCCTACTGTCTCCCTTGATGTCCTCTCTAGTATGACATGCTCATGTAGTGATGCCAGCGACATAAGCCATAAGGAGTGTCCATGGAGACAAGGAGTTAGGAGTGCAAATGCATCCCAGTCAAGTGCAATACATAGACAAGTACACGACCTGATCATACACAAGGAGCACAACAATGCAAAATTGCACATCTACCATTTCCAACTATGGCTTCGCCTGCCCCTAATATCGAAGGGGTCAGGAATGGAGAAACGTTCAGCTTCTTTGACGGGACTAGCTTCCCTGTATAATTCCATCGCTTCCTTCAAGACTTTGTCCTGCGACAAGGACTGCACTCTTTTCTTACCTGAAGGGTGAGTGGACAGGTAGTTTTCCAATTCTGATTTTCTTGACATCTTTCCTAGCTTCTCTTCGACTGCAATGGCTATGTGTGGATCGAAACCAGCTGCAGCAAGTAGCAGCATTCCAATGTGATCTGCCTCTATCTCCATCCTGCAAAGGTAACATGTAACACCAATGAGAACTCCTAACGTGAGACATAGTTGCACATATTTGATAATACATTGACAAGGTGAGAACTGTACAACACGTAGCTCTCATAGTTTTTTTTTTTTTTTGAAAAGTAAGGTAACGCCTCCCATGGATGATACATTGAATCTAGTACTCTACCATATAAGCAACAGTATTGTGTTGCGCTAACTCCGCCATATTAGAACGTCAATCATAGAAGGGAAAGTAATGGTCTCAATTCTTGTGAAGATGCTAAGTGCAAGGACTTGCTCACGCAATTCCTTTGGGTGTATACAAATTTTCATGAAGGAAGCTACTCAACAACTTGTCCTTTTAGAGCACAAAAGTTTGTTTATTTACGCGGGAGCGCAAAAAAATTATGTTGAACGAAACATAAACGACACTAACCATGCGGAAATAAAAATAGGTTCCTTTCTTTCTAGTTTTCACGATTTTGCCCATCCAGAATTCTACTGGTAATAAACTTATTGTCGGTCATGTCTAAGAATCCACGTATATACAAATTTCATTACACAGAATAGTTTGTGGTTGCATGACTATAACAAGGAAATCTGGAATTTAGACTACATGATGGACTCAATCAAACATGGTCATGATTAAGAATAGCAATTATTACCTGTGCATTACATAGAAATAAGTCTCTGTTATTTTTTGACAACCGCATAGTATGAAGTGAAATAA